AAAAAACCTTCGTTTAGGACTTTGACGAAATCGCGTTTTTCTATCTGGTAGGGAGTTTGCAGAATATTTCGTGATTTTTCTTAGAGGTCTAAACCAAGTCAAATTGTTCTGAATTTTTATATTCGGTAACTTTTATTGATTAGGTTTCTTATTCTATTTTTTTTCAGAATTTCTAGATAGAACTTATTTTTCTAGGATTAGTTTCCTTATGTTTTTAGTTTCCTTCTAGTGTTAGGTTTTCTTTTATTATAAATAAGTGTACTGCAGAGAGCATAATTAATTTATCTATTCAATTATCAATATAATATTAGATTTTCACTGTAAATTTATCTCTTCACTTTGTGGATTCAAAGTTGTTTATCGTTCCTTGTGAACAATCATAGCTTCCGCGTATGTCAGTTATGCGGATTATTCAGATGATGAGGAGTTCAGATTCAGTGATTGAGGTAGATGCAACAAAAATCGTAGATATCCGAACAATCGTGAGTTTCAGGCCAAACTTGATCAACTCAGTTTCAATGGACATCTTCATGTTGAGGATTTCTTGGACTGGCTTGATGAAGTTGAAATTTTTTTTGAGTATTTTGCTATACCCGAAAACAAGCAGGTTCCACTTATAGCATTCAAACTTAAAAAAGACGCTTCATATTGGTGGGAATTGATACAAGTACAACAAATCCGCTAATGCGAGAAAAAAACAGCCTGCACAATCGTGGTACGAGATGAAAAAGTTATTGATGGCTAGATTTATTCCGTTTGATTTTGAGCAGATGGTGTATCAAAAATATAAGAATTGTAAGAAAGAGACTAAGTTTGTCAACGAGTACACGAAGGAGAATAGTGGTAATTTTGTAGAAACAACCAATGATTCTCAAACAATTGATTGGAAGCAAAATTATGTTGTTCCTCTTGTAGTTGAGGATGATGAAGTTGTCCATGCTTTAGTCGCAACTGAGGTTTCTGAAAAGGATTCTAACAATACAACTTCAGACAGCAGAAGAAGAGGATGATGACAAGAATTTTGACGCTAAAAGTGAGTAACATGAACCAGGTGATGATGAGGTCAATGAAATTTCTAAATTACATGTCCAAGATAGTATGGAAGAATTCGAGCATCAAGTTGTTGAAGAATCATCATGTGAGCAGATTGCAAGTGAAGAAAATTTTATTTCGGAAGGTACCAATGAAGTTAATTTGGTGTCGTGTTTTTGAGGTAACAGTATGCTTTTGTGGCAGTCAAGACTACACGTTATTCACAGCCAAAATCGAGGACATGTTGTTTTGAAGTGGAGGGGACTGATGTAGGACAGAATTTCAGTCAGTTCGATAAGCCCGTTTTTGACCAAAAAGGAATGTTTTTTGGGTGGAAACGACCCATTGAGAAGAACCCTCTAGCTATAGCTAGTGGGACATGTCATTTTTTGGCAGAAAACCTTCAATTAGGACTCCGAAATTGCGTTTTTCTGCCTTGTAGGGAGTTTTCCGAATATTTGTGATTTTTCTTAAGAGGTCTAAACCAAGTCAAATTGTTCTGAATATATATTTGGTAGTTTTTATTGATTAAGTTTCTTATTCTATGTTTTTCAGAATTTTTAGAGAGAATTTATTTTTAGGCTTTTTTCTAGGATTAGTTTCATTCTAGTGTTAGGTTTTCTTTTATTATAAATACGTGTACTGTACTGCAGAGAGCAGAATTAATTTATCTATTCAATTATCAATACAATGTCAGATTTTCTCTGTGAATTTCTCTCTACTTTGTGGATTCAAAGTTGTTTATCATTCCTTGCGAATAATAATAGCTTCCACTTATGCTAATACATCTCTCTATACTCTCAAGCTGTCCAAAAAATCTACCAACTCCTCTACAGATGCACACATTTGCCCTGAAACCCAAAAGAAGAGAACCCAAAATGTGATGTTTCAGCACCCAAACCGGAGATTCCACACCATCAAATGACATCCTATTCCTCTCACGCCACAAGTCCCACCAAATACATAAGGGCCCTGCCATCCACACATCTCGAGCATACATCCCCACTGTACATCCCCTCCAAGACTCGAAAGCCTCCATAGCAGAACCTGGTGTAACCCAATGAACTCCATACACTGAAAGGAACATAGCCAAATGTGGCTATATGTTGACATGACAATCTTAAACACTACCTATTCATGGATTTTGAAGGTTTAAATTGTACATGATTGGTAATTTAGTCATTTTGTTCTTGCATTGTTATGTCCCATGTTGAACATCTGGATATGAATGCATTTCCAAACCAGGAGTCTCCCAGCTAGCCTACTGCATCTAAAAATTTACAGGTGTATGTAACATCAATTTAGTTTTGAGAATAAAGAAATGTAAACTTTTCCTGTGCTCCATGCTATATAGTTCTTACAGACCAGAATTTTTTGTGCATATATGGTCTTGGTATAATCTTTGCAGTTTGCACAAAATATTTTTGCAAAATATGGATTCTTATATACCAGATGTGGGGCCTGGTACAACCTTAAAGACTTGTATAATGTTCTTATTCTATAGAGATTTAATATAAATTACTAAAATAAATTCGATCTTGAATGTTAGAATAAGGTTGATTGTCTGAAAAACAGCAACGGTGATGAGAAAGTGACCCAATCTTGATAAATGGGTAGGATCAGGAGGTAACCTTTGATGAATGGCATGGGACGAAGATTTCCGACTATTCAGATTGTAGAGGTGGCCAATCTCCTGTGATAAAAACTAACGCATGTGTGCAATAATTTTGCAACAAGGGCTTCCCCTATGGTGGATCCTTGGGAGATCACATGATGGTTCATTTGATCAACTCAGCTGAAACTGATTATAGCCCACCAAGGGAAGGTCTAATGATGATATACGTTTTGAAGGCGGTAAATATACTATTTATGGACATGAAGAGAACCACAACAAGACATAGATTTACATATTTAAGCATAGACTGTGCCAATCTGATGATGAAGCCGCTACCACTAATATGAGTTATCTTTGCTCTATAAGCATATTAGACTGCGTATACCATCAAATTGGGTACATTATTTCCTTACCACCTATAGATTAATTCAAGTTATGTACATAAGGAAGTTTTTCACTTCAACTAATAGATTAAATAACAATCACAGTAGCATAAAGTGGTTTATATATTGTATTTTTAGGAAAAGACAATCTTATAGGAGAGCATATTTAACATACAAGGCACTTCTGTTTTGCACTTCTGTTTCAAATTTTCAAATCTGCTAAATATGTTCTGCACTTCTGTTTTTTATTTCTTTCCCTTCTCTCTCTCTCTTTCTTTTTTAACTTGCGCTGCTTCAGTGAGGCCCAAACCTCGCCTTGCGCCTCGGACTACAGGAGACCTTGGCGCCTTAGTGCGCCTTGAGCCTTTAACAACTATGATCTGAATCCTCTAATGAACCACATCTCTGCGGCTCTCCTCATCAACCGACTAAACACCTCCGTCATTACAAGGAAGAAGAATGGAGATAATGGATCCCCTTGCCTCAATCCCCTTGAGCTTCTAAAGAATCTGGACGGGGACCATTAACCAACACCGACAACCTCACAGCAGAAATGCAAGCCACAATCCACCTCCTCCACACACCCCAGTATCCCATCCTTCCAACAAATATAACAAGAAGACCCAATTCACATGATCATAGGCCTTCTCAACACCCAGCTTGAATAGCACTCCCAGAGTCCCGCTGCTCATCGTGAATCCACACACTTGCTATCAATCAGAGCTAAATCTAGTATTTGGCACCCACCCACGCAGGCATTCTGAAACTCCAAGATGACTCCATCCAAATCTAGTATTTGGCGCCCACCCATGAAGGCATTCTAGAACTCCAAGATGACTCCATCCAGGACTTCTTTCATCCTCGATGTTAGGACTTTAGCTATTAACTTGTAGATGATCTCTACCAAACTAATAAGTCTAAAATCATTTATGTCCATAGCTCCCCCCTTTCTTGGAGATTAGAGCAATAAAGGATGCATTCATTCTCCTATCGAACCTGCCATGCACATAAAAGGCCTTCACATCCTCCATCATCTCCCCCATAATCACCTCCCAATTCTTTTGGAAAAAACCCATAGTGAACCCATCCGGCCCTAGAGCTTCATCTCCATTACAATTGTTCAACGCCAATAGCACTTCCTCTTTGCTAAACGATCTCTCCAACCAATCCCTCTATGCTGAAATTGAATCAAACTCCAGCCCATATAGAAAAGGTCTCCAACTAGACCCCTCTGAGTACAAATGCTGATAATACAAGGCGATCCCCCTACACACTCCAGCCATCTAGAAATGCAAACCTCAATCCACCTCCCAATTTTTTCTATTTTTTCTTCTTTGCAATTTTGTATTTCTAAAACAAACTTTATATATGAATGCCTTAAATTATAGTATTAGTTTATACATAGATTGACTTTGCTTAGGAGTGAACTACTCTTTTTTCCAAAATTACGAATAGTGGGGCAACCCAAACCCACCTCAGCCTCAAGAAGGGGCAAGGTGGAATAGGTTTCAAAAGGAATCTTCATTCATGGGAAGGGTCTCAACAATGGTGCCCATCTTGTTGCAATTGGTATTCATGCCTTCGCAGACAAGTCTTACCTTCCAACATTTTTAAATTTAGTAATCTTGCATTTTATTTTTATTCAACCATTGTTCATTATTCAATTATAAGTGATATTTGAAGTTTCATGATTCGCTCTGAACTCTCGCTTCGATGCTTACCCAAATGCATACGTATTGTTATTTAGTTATCAACTAAGTATTATTTTCCCCACAGGAATCAGCTAGAACATACGCCAAACCAATTACTAAATTCAGTATTGCGATTTGCGTGCAAAATAAAATCAAAACAGTGTCTTTTTCCATGAAGAAGACGAATACTACAAATTTTGCATAAACAAATTATGGGGCAATTAACAACGATTCTAACACAAACACACACACACACATACATATATGTATATTTCGGACCTGTATATCTGATTTAGATACTCTTTCCCGAAGAATTGGAGAACTGGAAAGAAAGAGACCGTGAGGAAAGAAGAAGGCGAAGACGCATCCTAGGAGCACACCGACCGCAACAGCAATGGCGATTCTCGAACCGCGAAGAGAGTGTCCGGTGTTCCTCATCAACGCACCGTCTCTGCGACCCATCATGGCTTCTTTATTGTGTCTCAATTTTAGAGAGAGAAAAGCAGAGGAGGAGAGAGAGTATCTGATTTCTCTGCTTCTATGGAACGGAAATAGTTTTTTTCCAAGATGGTATTCGGAAACACTGGCAGGTATATGTATTTACACACAAACACACACTAATGGTTTGTCAGAAATCCTTGGAAATATGTTTCTTCTCTGTTTTCTTGACCGTTGCCACTTACCAGCAGTAGAGAAAGATAGTGCGTGTTGGGTGGGTTCTCAGAGCGGAGTAAATTGACCAATGAAGACATTACCAGCCAGAGTTAAATAGGGAATCTCGTATTTTCTTCATTTCCATAATTAATGGGAAAACAAAAACATGAAAATCATGAAATGGCATTTACTACCTTCTTGCTTTTCACAATTTTAAAACAGAAATCAATAAAGAGTGTTAAAATGTTTTATTACTAGATGTACACCATATTTTTAAAGTACTACATAATTGTTACCAGATGTACACAATATTTTATTTTATTTTACTTTTTATTTTTTATTCGTACAAAAAAAATTTTAAAATATAAATAATGTGTACAATTCAATTATTTCACAAATATTAAAAGTAATCAATACATCATACACTAATAAAATACAATATCCAATTTAAAATATAAAAAAAAAACATTATAATACCTAATAAATTAGTATAAAATGAGATATACAAGGGTAAAAACGCTTTCACCAATTAGGCAATTATGCATCATTTATGCATTTATTATGCGACTAAATTGCGTCAGCTTGGCTTAGGATGAACGAAGTCGTTTGGGTGTGCCCTATTCTGTTAAGCTGTGGAAAATAAATAAATAATAATAATAATAATCATATTATTTATGGCAGTAGCTATGAATTCTCTATTTTTTGCATTGATCATTTACAAAAATATATTCGTTCGGTTTAAAAAAAAGATGTCCTATTTGGAACAAAGGTAGTAACAATGCTATTCAGCCCAAGTCTTTGGTCCGACCCTTTCCGCCTAAAAATGCACAATCTAATCTAGTGATAAAAAAATGAATTTATAATAATAAAAAATCATAATTGAAATTTTTATATAAACTAATATTTTTACATTTTTAACAAAATAAAAAAAAAATCTGTTTAATTAAAAAAAAATTATATTGTTTTGGATAAAATGAAATAATTCAATTTTTATAAATATAAATAACTAAAATAGAAGAGTTTTTTATTTTATTTTAAAGGATTGTTTTTGTATTGGACATGAAGTGTAAAAGAATGAAGATGAGAGAAAATAAATAGAATTTATGTTGTTTAAGAGTTTGTGGAATAATTATTCAGTTCATAAAAAATCATAATTTATTGAGGAATTAGGAGTCTATTATTAGTTAATTGAGTGAGGAATTAAGAGTCTACTGGTATTAATTGAGTGAGGAATTAATAATTTAAAATAAAAGAGTTTATTAATTGAAATTCTTATACAGATTAATAGTGAGGAATTTATAATTTAAAATAAAAGAGTTTGTTAATTGAAATTTTATACAAATTAATAGTTTAGCATTGACTATATATATATATATATATATATATATTATGTTTGGTAGTAAAAAAAATTTAGCATCATGATTTGTGTCTTCTCAGAGGTTACTTGTATAATCAAAGCTCTAAAGAATTATAATATTACTTCATTTTTAGAGTAAATTGCATAACATGAATAGGAAGAGTTGGAAAGAGAATGGAATTAAAAAATAAATAAATAAATAAAAAAGAAGGGGGAAAGAGTTAGAAAGGGAATAAAAAGATATGGAGGCTGGTCACTTACCATTTATGGAGAAGGATATAAAAAAAATAAAAAATATAAAAATTATTCAACATTATAAGAACATTGGTCGAAAAAATGATGTTTCATAACCAGGCACAGTGATTTTTTTTTCCCGATATTTTATACCTATTAATTTTCTTTTTCTGAATTATATACCTATATGAATTTTAAATTACAAACAAATCCCACTATTGCCCTCACTCTATGAATTTTTTTTTTTTTTTTATCTTCTTATTATTAAAGGTCTGCCCCTCTCATATAATTTTTTAAATTTGTCCGTGTTCATAACTTATGATGATTTGCATGCTGACTTTTGTTGTGATTTTACGTTTGATGAAAATTTATCCTTGATATATTTTTGATAATTTTTCTTACAATTTATGAATGGAAAATGTCCATTAATTATTTTAACAAGTCAACATTTAGCATTAAAAAAAGTCATATCTTCGTTCTCTTCAATACAATGAATTTAAGTATCATTTTCATAAGTTACATCAATCAGAATCAATGGAAGAATTTGAATTCTAATGATATCAGATGGTTTCTCAAATTATGGTGGATTCAGATAGACATACTGCTAAACTTTATTCTTTACTTTATTTTATTCTTTGTGTGCTATCCTATCTAAGGCCCTATTTGGTGGATGTTTCGTACTGTGCTGTTTTGTTCCCAATAGTGCTACAGTAGCACTATTGAGGCCCAAAACATGTTTGGCATAAGCTGTACTGGTCTGAACAGTATCCGGACACTTTGCACTATTTGGGCCAAATGTTGGAACAAAAAAAACTTGTTCCAAGTGTTCCACAAATCATTTCAGCCTCCCAATCGCCTCCATCTCTATTCTCGTTCTCAACTCTGAACTTGCCCTAGTCTCTCTCTCTCCCTCTCTCTCACTCTGCAACTGCAAAGTACAAAATCTACAAGGATCAGAAGTTCCACCTCCATCTCTATTCTCGTTCTCAACTCTGAACTGGCCCCAGTCCCTCTCTCTCTCTCTCTCTCTCTGCAACTGCAGAGTACAAAATCTACAAGGATACCTCCATTTCTATTCTCGTTCTCAACTCTGAACTTGCCCTAGTCTCTCTCTCTCTCCAACTGCAAAGTACAAAATCTACAAGGATCAGAAGTCCCACCTCCATCGCTGTTCTCGTTCTCAACTTTGAACTAGCCCTAGTCTCTCTCTCTCTCTCTCTCTCTCTGCAACTGCAGAGTACAAAATCTACAAGGATCGGAAGTCCCACCTCCATTTCTATTCTCGTTCTCAACTCTGAACTTGCCCTAGTCTCTCTCTCTCTCCCCCCCTCTCTCTCTCTGCAACTACAAAGCTGTATGGGTTTTGTTTTAATTTTTTTTTAGGGCAAATCATTTCAGCCTCCCAAACGCCTCCATCTCTATTCTCGATCTCTGCAACTGCAAACTTGTTGGTTTTGTTTTAATTGTTTTTTTAGGGCAAATCATTTCAACCTCCCAAATGCCTCTATCTCTATTCTCGATCTCTGCAACTGCAAACTTGTGGGTTTTGTTTTAATTGTGTTTTTAGGGCAAATCATTTTAGCCTCCCAAACGCCTCCATCTCTATTCTCGATCTTTCTTTGAATGGACCCATTTGAGAACAATTGGATGATGACAAAATTATCAAAGATTGGCATTCTTTATTTCTGTTCAACAACGTATGGATGATTTTGGTTAAGGGATTGTTGAATCTTTGCCTTGGAATGAATGGAAGAAAATGGATTGATATTGTGTTTCTCTGCAACTGCAAACTTATGGGTTTTGTTTTAATTTTTTTTAATTTAAAATAATTATAAAAAAATAATAATAATAATTTCTATTCCAAAATTCTCTGAACAAAACTTCGTCCCAAACATGTTTTGTTCTCCTTTCAGAACACTACATCACACAACACTTGTTCTGTTCTAGGCTAGAGCGGTACACTATATCACACTACACTTCCCAAACAGGCCCTAAGAAAATTCTTTTTGGTAGGGACATGGACAACGACTCATTTAGATTCTATCAATCTATATTTAAAAAGATTTATGAATGTAAAAACACTGTTAAACCTTTGTAAGTAGGGTTGCAAATGAATCAATCTGTTCATGAATAGTTCAGACTCGGCTCGAGTTCGTTCATTTAATAAATGAGGTGAGCTTGAACTCATTTTTCAGCCTCATTGAATAAACAAGCCAAGTTTGAACAATGGTGAACCCGACTCACCAAGCTTGTGAACAGGCTCATTTAGTTAATAGGGTCTCTATTTCAAATTTTGCTACTCAACTTTAGCCCAAACATTGGAGAGTTTCTACAAGTATATGTAGTCTATGTAGTTGTTTGATTTTATAAACTTAAACTATATTTATTCCTAAAGCCCAGAAGCTAACAAGCCCTAACCCATACATTTATCATAACCATTGGATTACACTTATACTATATATGTTTTAACCATAACAAAAGAATATAAACCCTAACACTTGTTGAAGACGGCAGCTATAGGAGACATCTCAATCCGTCCATCGCAGATTCATGTCGGCAATTACTCGACCGGCGACTTATGCGACAATCTTACTCCAACAACAACTACTACAAGGTTATCACTTTCTCCCTCTCTCAACCATGTTCTCTCTCTCGACGACCATTTATTTTCTTCTTATTTTGACGGAGTTATGAGAGAATAAAAAATATACTATTGGGCCTGCTTCAGGAGAATTAAATAAGAGAAAAGGGTTGAACCCGATGATTGAGAAACTGATTTCATCCTCTACAACACGATCGAAGATTTGAGGTATCTGCGGAGATGCCCATGATTGAGAGTCTGATTCTGCAACGCAAGCTTGAGCCAAGCCGAGCCCGAGCTTGGCTAGCCTAATCTCGTCTGAGCCCGAGCCGAGCTCGAGAACTTGGCGAGCCGAGCCCGAATAGGTCAAAGCTTGGCTCGACTCGGCTCATTTGTAGCCTTATTTGTAGGTGACAGTGGCTACTTGTTGCGATAAATGCCTTACTGATAAAATGAGGGTTTATGCGACAGAGTGCATACATCTGATGTCTCTTGTGAAAATGCTCAATAAATGTACAATTGGAGTCACTGCCTAATGTTGAATTTTGGTGTGTTAATTCACTAAATATGTAGGATTTTTCAATTATTTTAATACATTTGAAGTCTAATGTGGGCCCTTAATATGTTTGACTACCATCTAGTCTTCGTAAACAAAATTAATAGGTTCGAAGATTTAATTATACATGGAGAAGGTGTTAGGTGTTGGAAATTTTTATATATAAATAATAAAAATTATTTTATAGTCCTATGCACTACGTTTTTTAAAATAGGATTGCAATGTGATTATTGATACATGATGGATTGGGTTGTACTTTCCAATTTGGTGGTCTAATTGGAAGTATGGTTTTATACCGTTAGATTGTAGTTTTCCAACTTATTTAGTGTGATTTAATTCTA